AAGGAAAAGAAATAAAAGGAATGAAAATAAAAAAGGAAGAATATAAGCTATAAGTATTTGCAGATGACTTGGTCTTCATTCTAAAGGATCCATTAGAAACAACACCTAAATTGATAGAAAGAATAGAGGAATGTGGAAAAGTAGCAGGATTGAAAATAAAAACAAAACGAAGATTTTGACAAAGAATATACCAGCAAGTCAAAAGGAAGAATTGGCGGAAACCTTGGAGATGCAAGCTACAAATAAGGTCAAATATTTGGGGATAAACTTAACAGCAAGATGCAGTGCTCTCAAAGACAACAACTACTATAAACTTAAACAACAGATTGCGATGGATCGGAAGAAATGGGAAAATCTACAATTATCGATGATAGGGAGAATATCGAAAATTAAAATGAATATTTTACCTAGAACCTTATATCTGTTCCAGACGATTCCAATTAGACTAGGGAAGGAATACTTTGACTTAAGTAAAATAGTGTTGAAGTACATACGGCAGTGGGAAAAAGCAAGAATAAAACTGAAACTGTTACAAGATGCAAGAACAAGAGGAGGTCTGGGCCTGCCCAACTGGGAACTATATTATCAGGCAGCAAGTTTGATGTAGGCTAAAGACTGGACAACACTAAGGAATACCAGATTATCGACTCTTGAAGGACATTATTGTTGGGATGGCATGCCTTTTTATGGTACAAGGGAACTAAAACACAAGGGTATTTTAGAAGACATTACCTATGGGAGGCTTTGCTACTAAATTGGGAGAAGATTAAAAGACAATATTATTTAAAAATTCCAGCCTGGCTATCAACTATTGAAGCCTTTTCATATGCAATAATATACAAAAAGGAACAAATAGATATGGTGAAATATTGAATGCAGAGGGTGAACTTAAATCTATGCAAGAACTGGAAAAGGAAGGTATGAAGATGAACTGGTTTTCATATGTGCAAATACAATGACCGTAAAGAGGAAGTTTTTTATGATAAAATGACTGAGTTAGATAACATTTTGATGGGTACTGATGAAAAAGTAATGAAAAGTTCCAGAAATATGCAGTCAATTCTCTCTTTCTCGAATTTGAATTATGACTAAATAAGCATATATTTATCGGTGGGTGAGGACTAGCAGGTGGATGGGGCTTCGGCTTATACAACATTCGCTGTATAAGATGCACAGACATTTCCACCTATTTTTTTGGGGGGGGGAGTGCTTTTTAAACACACAAAAAAATGGTAAGTTTCTTTATTTCTCTTAGCAGAGTTTCCATTTGCCTCAGGGTGCAAAATCCAGTTTACTAATTTGTTAGTCAGGTCCTTGACTTACCACCATAGTTGGAACAAGAATACTGTTACTAAGCAAGGTTAAGTGATCATTTTATGACTTTTTTGTTATGATTGTTAAACAAATTAGGTAAAGGTAAAAGTTTCCCTCGCTCATATGTGCTAGTCGTTCCCGACTCTAGGGGGCAGTGCTCATCTCCATTTCAAAACCTAAGAGCCAGTGCTGTCTGAAGACATCTCCATGGTCATGTGGCTGGCATGATTAAACGCCGAAGGTGCGTGGAACGCTGTTACCGTCCCATCAAGATGGTTCCTATTTTTCTCCTTGCATTTTTAGGTGCTTTTGAACTGCTAAGTTGGCAGAAGCTGGGACAAGTAACGAGACCTCACCCCATTATACAGCAGTAGGGATTTGAACTGCCGAACTGCTGACCTTTTGATTGAGAAGCTCAGCATCTTAGCCACTGAGCCACTGCATCCCTGTTAATCAAATTACCAATTGTTAAATGAAACATGGTTTTAAAGAAATCCTTCCCCCATTGATTTTGCTTGTTGGAAGTTGATAGGGAGGTCACAAATGGCAATCACAAGACTATGAGGATGTTACTATGGTTGTAAGTTACAAATTAATATTTTCAGCGCCACTGTAAATTTGAACAGTCATTAAACAAATGGTTATAAGTTGAGGCCTAGCTTTATAAACGGGCATATTCGGATGGAATTCTTCTTAAGATTTTATGACTTGGTTCCACAATCCCAATTCACCCAGGTTTTCTGCAAATTATTTAACTAATCCATACATTCATAAACTTTCATTTTTGCTTACCTCTCTGGCAGGGCAAGACTGATATATTTGGAAAGAACTAGATGTGACGGCAACAATTCTGTTTAGAAAGGAAAAGAGAGTAAGGGAGGGAGCAAAATTATTTCTCAGAGAAATAGACAATGTACTATGAATTTTTTTTAAAAAAATCCTCCTTGCATAATTTTTCTCCTCAGCTATGCTTCGATAACAAAAAAATGACACCTGCTAAACAAAATATGTCAAGTAGTAATATTCAGCATTCCTTATCCACAGGTCTATTTTGCTATTTAAATTGGGCTTCTCTCTGTCTTTATATTTAATGAGGTAATTATTTGAAATCAATTTCACCCAAGTGACACAACGCTCCATCTGAAGATTGTATAAGCAACTCATTGGCTAACCCAAAAGGGCAATCATTTATTAGTTACATAATTCATTAGTGTAAAGAAAGCAGAAGAGGTGCTTGCGACATTGCTTTAGGTAGTCAAAACCTGGAAACTTCTAGATGTGCCAATATGACATCTCTAATAAAATGGAACTTTGAGGAAACTCAAGCCTCAGAGTCTTCTTTCATCGGGAGTGTTACTTGGAACCCTCACATAAACCCAAATCTGAAAGTTTCCAGGTTCTCCCCACATAAATGAAAGTTCAAGTCCCTGCCCAGCAACCACGTGTCCATCACATGATCCAATCGGGCACCGTCCAAAACTGGGGATACTGCAATGAGTCACCTCATTGCAGCTACAGGGCAAGATGTCCTTGACCCTCTGAGAAAAGAATTTTATTTTGACTATACCTCACCCATACTCCATATAATCCCCCGTCCCATTTTCCCACAGTAGGAAATATGGCAGGCCTGAAGGCCCCATGTAAAAGATGACTTCCAGGTCTGACACTTAAACTTTTTTCTTTAAAGGGAAGAACATTCTTTATCTCACAGATGAAAACACCCTACCACTACCTTGATTCGGAGCATTCCCTTCCTCAACTTATTATTAATATTCATATAAATATTAATAGTATGAAAACCAGAGTGTAAAACTCCCACTGTACAACCCCCCCCAATATAAAACAATGACTCCCCTCAAATGTATCAACAGCAGAGCTCACCTAACATCTTGACCCAAATACCTGGGGAAACAGGCGGGTCTTCAGTGCCTCATGAAAAGCTAATAGGATTGGGGCCACCCAAATCTCCAAGAGGATGTTATTCCATAGGACAGTTACTGCCATTGAGAAGACACAACTCTGAGTTCTAACAAAATTATATTATTTGATAGCAGAGACCCAGAGCATGCTCTCTCTCCTGTTTCTGGAGGGCTGAATAGAAACAATGGGAGAAAGGCACTCCCACAATTACTTTCGTCCTATGCCACTGAGGGCTACAGAGAATAGCCAGCACCTTGAATTACACCTGGAAATCTATGGCAGCCATTACAGTTTGCAAAGCAATGGTGTTACCTGGGCATAATGAGAAACATAACAAATTATCTGAGCTACTCAATTCTTGGAAATTATCAAAAGTTTCGGGCTACTCACTTTGACCTTTAGCGGATTGGGGCAAAGAGTCATTTAGGAGAACACAATTAGTTTTATATCAAAAAGAAGGGTTTATAAATATTCTAATATGAGATTGTGGAATATAACTGCCAGTCAGTGAATGCTAAGTGCCCCAGTCTTTTTGGGGGGAGGGGGTAGCAAGTCAACCCATCTGGAATTTTGAACGCATGCAATGAACTGTCTTGGAGGATTTTGTCAATTGATCAGCTGTCCCTGCGCAGGAGGGATGCGGTGGTTCACTGGCTAAGATGCTGAGCTTGTTGATCAGAAGGTCGGCAGTTTAGCGGTTTGAATCCCTAGTGCTGCATAATGGAGCGAGCTCCCATTACTTGTCCCAGTTTCTGCCAACCTAGCAATTCCAAAGCATGTAAAAATGCAAGTAGAAAAATAGGGACCACCTTTGGTAACAGCGTTCCAAACGCCTTTGGCGTTTAGTCATGCTGGCCACATGACCACTGAGACGTCTTTGGACAGCGCTGGCTCTTTGGCTTTGAAACGGAAATGAGCACTGCCGCCTACAGTCGGGAACAATTAGCACATATGTGCGAGAGGAATCTTTACCTTTACCTTACCCTACACAGGACACACAACAATCAAACATGACATGACCCAAAAACATATTCACCTCTTGCAGCTTGCCAGGTAGGTACTATGCTTAAACAAGGGTCAAGGAGTCCCCTTTATTATTCCTAAATTATAACAAACATATTTTAAAAGACACTTACTGAGTCAATAGGCACACGTAAGCGTAACTATTGATTCATGTGACCTTTTCCATCTGAAGCACCTTGAGGAAATATAAGAAGTTTGAAAAGATGATGAGTTAATTGGGCAACATAATGTAAGTATATATCTACATTGATTCAGTTTACAGAATTGCAACAATGGAAACAGCTGGGCAAATAACTTAGACAGAAGGCATTAAAGCTAATTTCATTCAAATCTTTGCAAATGCCTTTCCACTTAGGAGGCCTACTGATATTCTATTAGCTAATAAAAGGCTATTGGAAATAATTCAATGCACATCACGTTTGCAATGCCAAAATGCTGCTCTTTTACAACTTTTTTCCCTTTTGCTTCACTGGGAATGGATGTTGACAGGTGAGAAGATGTGTCCATCTTTTAAAATGTTTTCCTTTTTAAAAAAAAGATGGTAGTTAGTCCTAGGCAGCCACATCTAATGTCAGAAAAGAACATTGGAGATTATTACTATCATTAAGATTTTGCTGTGGTAAAAATATTCATTAACTGACTCCCTTTAATAAAAATAATTGAAATTGAAAATTACTTTTCAAAACATATGGGGAAATAATGAGAAGATACCATAACATCATTGTGAAAATATTTATTGTTACCAAGGTTTTCAAAGCAGGTGGGGAAATAATGTGAGGATACCTTAGCATCAATGACTGTGTATTTATACTGTGTATTATCAGGGTTTGCTGGAGAAAAGAAGGAGTTTGTGATTGACTCCTAATGACTTCCTGTGCAGATGTTTATGCTAAATTGTTTATCACTTCTTTCTTTTGGGATTTCAACTAACCTTTTAATCTAGCCCTCAAGCGGAGGTGTTCCTTCTATTAAGACTTTAGTGTAGCTAATTAGAAATGACAGTGGAGAGTAGGTGTATTTAACAAAATATCAGGTCATTGTCACTTTCTTTAAGGCGACTGTACCTTTAAACCACTTTCCCCATGCCTTTGTTTTTTTGCTTCTGGTATGCTATGGTCTGGCTTCTGTAGGCAGATTTGGGAAGGGGAAATTTGCTGAATTAATAGGTCTTCTGAGGAGTCCTTGGTACTGTCTTGCAGACATCTCATTACTCAAACTAGGTATGATCTGTGCTAGTAATTAATAGTTCTTTTAGGAAAGAAGAATGACAGATGATTTGACAATGTATGTGCAATATATATTCCCCAATAATGTAATATATTGAAGAACTGACATGTTCTCTTTCCCCTCCCTTCCCTCCCATTACCACATTAATCTGGGGAAAGTCCAGCAATTTTTCAGAAATTAATCTTCTGGACTGGAAGCAAACTATCCCTGGAGTTGCCAAATCAATGTATTCTTTTTGCTCTTTAAATTCTGCATACATTATAAATGCATGGCTTACAAGGATGTTACACAACACTTATAGACTTTAAGTACTTTAATGTTAGTTTATGGTTCTTTTAAAAAAAAAAAGCTTTGCCAGTTCTACATTATTTCAAAATCAGTTTTGTTAAAGAAATGCTGCATTTGCAGCTACATAAAAGGATGGAATGAAAACTACACCAATTGCAGTATTTAACTTTCAAGTTACTTTGTTTATTTCCAGTGAATAGCAGCCAAAGGAGGCTGGAAACAAACTAAATGGTGAAAAATAGTTCTTTCTGCTCTTAAGTAGTGCATTCATACACTCTTATTTTCTTTATGTAAGGAGAATGTTTAGAGATCCAATAAAATACACAAGACTGTGGAATCTGGTACATTCTGTATCTGTTCATAATTTTAAAAATGTTGGCCCAAGCTTTCACCAAGAATTTACCCCTTTTCAGCTTTGCAAGAAAAGCTGGAGGAGTGAAGGAACATCTATTTCAGATTTCATGGTGCGGGGAGTTAGAAGCAGACTATTTTCCGAGGGAAGCAATGTCCTCAGGCAGATTGTACAGTGTAATGGTGGATATGCTCATGTTTAACTTGCAAACAAAACTAACTGACATTCCAGGGCATTTTATAGCTTATGTCAATTGTTAAAATCTAGCAAGGGATAAATGAAGGATAGCATTAAAAAGTTGCAGAATCTTAAGACATACTGTAAATCTGTATTGTGGAGTAGCTTTGCCAAAAAAAAGTCTGATTCTAGCTATTTAAATTTTGTTTGGAAATCTTCCATTAACAGATTATTGACAATTCAAAGCTTGTTTCACTGTGTCCACAAATAATAAAACTATGTATAGCCATTGAAAACAAACAAACATTTTAAAGGAGTAAGAGGTAATCCTAAAATAATCTTGTATTTCATCCTCTTATATAACTTTATTTTATTCTGATGTAAGCAAGCAAACTACATTCCTTTTTCTCACTCCTGATCTATCCTAAAAGGAGCTCCCTCCCCCCTCCATAAAGCGATAGGAAAGTGGGGTTATTTACAGAGTGATCCCTATATCAGTTTGTTTCTGAAGTTATCAGGTCATCTTGCTAATAGAGCAAAGCAGGTGAGCTTTATATTATAAATGCAAATCACAGGTTAAAAGTGTTTTAACATTCTGTTTACCAGGTCTCTTGCATCCGGCTGAAATATTTTGGCCAAATATTTTGGCCCTGCATTTGTTAAGTTGCACAACTTGAATTTCAACCAAGTGCCACAAAAGTCAAGAATATCCAGATTGAATATTCAAGAGCTTACTTTACTTTAGCCAGAAACTGAAACTTTTGATTCTTGACATTCTTCTTTATTTGTTGAGCAAATGCTTTTAAGAAAGGCCTCTCCTCTCTGCCTGCCCACCCCCTGTACACTTAAGATTTTTGATTGTTTGAAGACCAGTTCAACTGCCTTAGCTGGAGTGGAATATTTTGTCATGATTTAATGCAGCCGTTTTAAGTACAATTTAAATTAGAAAAAGCGGCTTTCCTCAATATAAATTCAGCCAAAGCCAAAAGGTCATTCTTTAGTTGACACCTCAAGCTAACAAAGCTTGGCAGCAATGACAAATTTTCAGAAAAGAAATTCCATAATTGGGCACCTGAATAGAGAATATCCTTTTCTTGGATTGCCATGGAGTAAATGTCTGGTAAATTGGCTACAGGGCTTTCAAAAGAGTATCCTCGATCAAGTTGAATTTTTGAATAGATATGTAAGGGATATATCCAATATCCAGGACACATATTGGCAGGGCTGTCTATATCACTTGTAAGGAGAGAACATTTGAAGAATTGCCAAATGCTGGGAATAAAACCAGGCTACGTTTCTGGGCAGCTTAATTTGTGCCCCAAAAGCAAAATGAATGTATTAATCATGAAGTGGAACTAGGTTAGTCAACAGACAAGCATTCAAATGATCAACTAACCCATTAGCCAGTAACAATCATAATTAGGTAATGACAAAACCAAACCAACATTACCTGCAAAAATGGCTGATGGCCATTTTAGTCATTTCAGGGCTACCAGCCCAATTTACACATTCTGGCCAAACCACAAAAGGTAGGGCATATTTCAGGCAATAAATAATCATTTTTGGCTGCACACGGGGATTTTGGAATGGTTTCCCATGTTGAAAAACACCCCCCTTTGCAAGGAAGTATCTAGCACAGCACACTGTGAGGAAGGGTCTAACTGGTTAATCTCAAAGGTTTTTTCCCCGTACTCTTTCTCAGCAGAGACCATTGTGCAGGTAATCTCACACCTGCAAGGTGATGCAATAATTCTCTACCATTTCTAAACTCTTATCATTTTATTCCTTTAGGATGAAATTCAATAAAGAATACTTCAGAGTAATGGTAATGAGTGAGTGTGTGTGTGAGTATCCACTCATCATCTCTACTTGCAACACGTTTGAAAACTCTCGGGAGAGGTTTCCAATTAGGCATTCATTCTTACACCAGGGTGAGAACTATTTTGACCACTTTTTCTTTTTTTAAACTTCTGCATATAGTTCCCAAAATAATCTTTCTATCCTATTTAGCCATTTTTTATTCTTGGCTTGGCTTTGAATAAAAATCCAAATAAGCAGACATTAGCTTTCAATTAAGCTTCCTTCTAGTTTCATTAATGTAGTTCTTTAGCTTTTAAAAAAAGTATTAACTCATTTGAATTAAAAACCAGGCATATAAATTGCTAAGCAAGCATTCATTTTTACCTCCCATATTATGTTGTAGATTGATCCTATCTTGTTTTGGATACTGTTTTTACTCTTCCCAAACCTTATCTTGATTTCTTCAGTGTCAAATTCAAAATCAATAAAAGAAAACATGTAGCTCAGAGTTGAATTGGGGAGTCCTTAGTGCTCACTGAGCCTGTTTGTTTGCTTGCAGATGTTTCATTACCCAACTAAGTAACATTATCAGTGCACTGATCAGAGCACTAATGATGTTACCTAGCTGGGTAATGAAACAGCTGCAAAAGGCTTAAGTGTGCATTTGAGGACTCCACAGATTAAGATTCATTTATTTGAATCTTCATGGATTACTACCTTGTCATGGCGAAGGGGCTTGTGTAGCTCAATGAAGCTATGAGCTATGCCGTGTGGGGCCACCCAAGACGGACAGGTCATAGCAGAGAGCTCTGAAAAAACGTGATCCACTGGAGAAGGAAATGGCAACCCACTCCAGTATCTTTGCCATGAAAACCCCATGAATAGTACCAAAAGGCACAAAGACCTGGAGAAATGTTGTCCAAGGAGTCACAATGGGTCGGACATGACTTCACAATTAACAACAAAATTTGAATCTTAATCTATATTTATTTGAATCTTAATCTATTGCTCTATATTGTTGGAGACAGAAATATTATCTGTTATGTGGTAAGGAAGGGAAGGAGAACACCGTTTGCTTTGGAACATTTTATCTAATGGTCATGAGAAGGCACAACAAATCATGAATTAAGGGAGGTTAGTTTGGTTTTGGTCTTTTCAGATCCTTTAGGTCAATAAATGTGAAACCAAATGTTAAAAGCAATCTCCTGTGAATGAAGATCAACTTCTGGTGACTTCACTGACATATTAATATAGTTTTCTCAGCAAAAGTATGGTTGACTTTAGGTTTACTATTCCCTTTTGGTGGGAAGTTTTCTGACTTCCCAGTGTAAACCACAAATGTGGGGTTTCTTGTTGGTCTCTCATCCAAGTCTAATCAAGTTTGCTGTTATCTAGTATTTTGGGGAATAACTGATATTGACTAGATTCAAGAGCAAGTTAGGCAAATATAATAGAGTGGCGTTGTTGGAGCTAGAAACCTTAGCAAACTATTAGTATTAGGTAATCAAAAGGCATGAGAATTGCTAGCAGTACAGTAGGTAATGTTAAGACTTTGGACTTTATGATGGTTGATGGGGTTGGGGTCTCCGAGTACACTAAAACTATTTTTTTCAAACTATTACAAGCCAATGTGCTGCATAGGGAAAAGTCTTGCTCATTCTTTTGAGATTTTTCTTGCTTGAAAATCTTTACCCTGCTTATTCTGGTGCCAGAAATTTGGGGTAGCAAAGAAGTGTGTATTATACTCAGTTCTATAATCCAGATCAATGCATTGATCAATTGATTGATCCTCTAATCATCTTTTAAGCAAAAGACCTCTCTAGAATACATTTGGTAATGTCTGTTAACAGCTGTAACTAAATGACAAAACTTTCAGTTCCATCACTTGTAGAGATTCTTTTTCTATCCTAACCCCCCCCCCATGTGTTTTTGAGACCATCAGTTCAGTCTTAAACTACAATCTTCAGCAGTCCATATTTGACCTTTCTCCAGGCATGTAGAGACTAAAATTCAGGGCCAAAATGTAATACTGGAATTTTAAACAAAATGACTCATAATTCCCAGATCTAAATGTAGTTCTGTGGTCTAACACAGAAAAAGATGTATGTATGTACCTCACATATTGTTTCACATTGCCTTTATTGCAAACTTTACTCTCGTAATTAAGCCTTTGAAAATCGACAGGCATTTTTATTGCTAACCTCTCAAATTCTACTGACCTCCTTCCTTATCCACCCACCAGTTTTCCTGAACAAGATATTTTTCTGATAATTGGAACATTATTCATACGTTACTTCGTCCTTCAAGCACGTTCACCCACGCCCCCCACTCGAAAAACTCAAATAGTTGTTCTTAATCTATGCACCTCTTTCCCAATAGAAATAGGAATGGTTTCTGTCCCATTTGCCTTTGCACACTCTCTTTCACCATTATGTGTCTACCTCTCTACTCCCGGGGCACAATTTTTAAATTTTGCTTTCTTGTCCGCCTCCTCTTTCCTAATTTTGTTTACTATCAAACACTCAAACCCTCCACACCGCGTTGTGCCTTTGCCTACTTTTCGCTGGAAGCAGGCTGGCAGGTCCAGTTCTCCGCTCCCTTCCCTTCCCCTCCTTACTTTCCAATGCACTTAGCAGGCAGGCCTCCTCGCTCCTCTCTGATGTAGGTCGCCTGAAAGAGCTGGGGGAGTCCTTCCGAGACACAGAGAGACCCCCGCACCTCAATCTCCGCTTTTTAAGGGCTGACAACAGAGCAGGAGCTTTCGCAGTGCCTCCTCTTCAGTGCATCATCATCAGTAGACGGCGAAGCATGTTGGGAAATGTAGTTTGCAAGCGAGCACGTGGAAGTCGCTCTCCTCGAGCGTGTTCAGCTTTGTCAAGACGAATTGCAGAGAGCGAAATCAAATGGCTTCTGGCTAGGTATTTTCCCTTACAGCACCGTGGTAGTTCAGTGCTGCAGCTGATCTAATAACAAACTTGTTCCTGATTTGCTAGTTTTTGTTGATGCAGAGGGATTTTGAAATCACAAATATTCTAATTTATCAAGCAAGTAAAAACCCTGACTATATTGGGAAAGAGAGTCATCTCTGTTCTGTTAAGGCAGACACAGTTGCTATCGGAAGAATGCAAGATTCCAGTGGCCAGCATATATAAATTATATAAAGAAAATAATACTAAAATTATAAGAGGGACATTCTGTGTTAACGGGCAATGTGGCCAGGTAAAAAGCATCTCATCAATATTGTTCCAACTTATTATAAAGGAGGTGGCATTCCTCTAGAGAAAATAGATGATTACCAGTACATAAAAGAAATAAAATTACTGAAATTTACAGAGGAACACAGGCAGACCTATAACAATTCTGCATAATTTATTCATGAGAATTGGTGTGGGATTTTACTTAAAAGACAGAAATGTGTTGGCTATTTTGGAATATTTGGCGCAACACAATGACAAGCCACATTGATTTTCTCAAACAAAGATAAGGTCTTTGACAATTTGAACTAGACTTCGTTGTTCAAGATTTTGGAAGAAATGAACTAGGGAAAGAATTTTTCAAAGTGAGTAAGATCAATTTACACTTCATAAAAAGCACTAAATAATTGTTAATCTAAGAAGATATAAAATGGAACAAGATGAAGATGCTTTCCCAAGATGCTTTCTTTTCTCTTATTATTTATTTTGGATTTGAAATATTGAATAGAGATATGAAAAGAAGACAATATGATTATGGGTGTAAATATTTTTTTTAATTTAAAAATTAAGAGCTTTTGCCGGTGATTTAGAGTTGGTTCTGGAAGATCGGTAGAAATTGAAATAATCATGGACAAATTGAAACATTTTGGTGCATTAGATTTTAAGATTAATAAACAAGATATTAAAAATATGAAAATAGGAGATTAAACATAATTAATTAATGAAATGTGTCTTACGATTGAGAAGAAGATAAAATATCTGAGAATTATGACAAAAATAAACTATATGTTATTTCAAATTACTATATTATGGAATGAAATTAAATTAATTTTTAAAAGACATGTTAAGAAGGCAGAAATTACAACTATCATTGCTGGTGAAAATTTCTGAGATAAAAATTAAAGTCTTATTTAGATTGTTTTTATTTCAGATGCTATTTGTTTTTACAATGTATACATTATTTAAACCAAGGTGCCAACCTATGGCCCAAGGACTACATATGGCCCTGGACAGTTAAAAATGCAGCCTCTCAAGATCATAATAAAAATATTGTAAAAAATAAGGGAAGTTTGTTATTTATATAAATTTTAGTTAGTTATATTGTGTATGCAGCCCAAGACAATTCTTTATTCAATATGGCGCTGGTAAGTCAAAAGATCAGACACATCTGATTTAAACATTGGCAGAAAGAGACAGCTAAAACTTTCTGCGGGGGGGGGGGGAGCATGATTTAAATCAGGGTTGTCAAGCTCGATTTCATTGAGGGCTGCATCAAGGTTGCATTTTACCTCAGGGAACCAGGGTGGGTGTGACCAACTCGACGTCACTCATGTTGGGGGTGACTGTGGTGGCCCGAGTGCTCTGAAAACAGGTTCCTGCAACCCTCTACCAGTGAATACAGAGCTCGGGAGGCCTACATGTGGCCCTCCCGGGCTTCATTTTTGCTGACAGAGGCATTGCAGGCCAGTCCTTGGCTGTTTCCAAATCTGGGCCAGATCTAAGCACCCTGCAGGCTGAATTTGGTCCCTGGGCCTAGAGTTTGACACCCCTGATTTAGATATAAAGTATTATAAGATGCAAAGGAAAAAGGAGAATTTAGTCTTCTTGATTAGAAATTGTATTTTGCAGTGTGCTCTTTGGTTTGGATGAAAGAATGGATGTTGCTGAGAAATAGAAGGCCTTTTAAGATTGGGTGGCATGGATATTTGTAATACAGGTAGTCATCAACTTATGACCACAATTGAGCACAACATTTCGGTTGTGGGACATTTGTGAGACATTTGTTAGTGAGTTTTATTGAAATCTGGAAAGAATGAAGAGACGTGGAATGACTGAGGGAAGTAGAACAGCTTTATTCCAACAGAACAGTTAACGGAATAACTATGTACTGAGTTCAGCCCCTCACCCTGCCTGACAGCTATTTTATACACGAGCTGTCAAGCAGGGAGACCAATGGAAAAGGTGCAAACAGCCCGCGCTCAGCCAGCCGCACCTTAGCCAATCAGGCGCGGCTGAGCAGTTGCCGGCTTTCAATCGTAAGTTGAGGACTTGCGGCTGGTTGCAAGTTGAGGACTTAACACTTCTCCCCCCCCCCAGCAGGCATGCATGCATGGTAAGAGCGCATGCGTACTCGCTAACATAGGCAGGGTGGTGCCGAACCCGCCCAAAATGACACAGTTGCAGAGGAGCGATCGGCAAGGTAGGTCATCCCTGTAGTAGCTCCTCCCCAACGGGAGTGGAGCTCCGGGTGACGTCATCCGGGCCTACCAATGGAGACAGCAAACTTGGAACAGGTAGCTGAACTAGTGGCAACGGAACAGCTTGAGGAGGTGCCTGGGCAAGCTGCCAGGAGGTGGTGGCCGGGCAGGAGAGGCCTGATTAGGAGAAGGCCTCGTGGGAGTTGATGCGGAAGCGGTGTTGTGATGGATTAAGGAGGTGCCTGGGTAGGCTGCCAAGAGGTGGTGGCCAGGCAGGAGAGGGCTGATTGGGAGAAAGCCTTGGTGGGTAGGCAGCACCTTAGTTGATCCACGTGGCGCCACCACTTGCTGCCATCAGGAAGTCCGACCCTACAAGAACAGGGACCGGTTACTTTGGTGATGATGGCAGACACCCACCTTGGATCCCCTGTGAAACTCCTGGCAAAGACCAGGTCTCCCTCCCCAAACAGGCGTGGAGGCACCCCTAGGTTGTGAGGCTACAGGGGGTTATAAAGTGGTTGCAGCCTGTCTAGTGTGGTTCGCAGATGTCGGCCCATCAGCAGCTCGGCGGGACTTTTGTTGGACAGGGCACATGGGGTAAAGGAGATAAGCAGCCGAGGAGATAAGCCACCACCTTGTCCAGCCAATCTCCCCGGTCCATGCGCCCCAACACTTCTTTGGCCGAGCGAACAGCCCATTCTGCTCTGCCATTGCAAGCAGGATGGTAGGGGGCTGTTGGGGCCTGGCAGATTCCTTGCCCGGTCAGGAAATCCTGGAAGGCTGCGGCTGGGAATTGAGGTCTGTTGTCAGTCACGATAGTGTCCGGCAACCCATGTGTGACGAACACCCACCACAATGCCCGTAAAGGGAACTCCACAGTGGTGGAAGTCATGAACAGGAGTTCCACCCAACGGCAGTAGGTGTCCACGACCACCAGGAAATTCTGACCATGAAAGGGGCCCGCAAAATCCAAATGGACCCTTGACCAGGGTCCCCTAGGAACCTCCCAGTCTCTAATGGGAATGGCTGGAGGGCAGGGCGGGAGAGTTGGCAGGGTGTACAACGGCCGACCCAAGTTGCTATCTCCTTGTCCATCTTGGGCCACCAACCATAGCTGCGAGCGAAAGCCTTCATGAGAGCTATACCTGGGTGGCCCTGATGGAGATGGTCTAGCACCTGGTTGTGCAAGGAGGAAGGAATAATCACCCTGTCGCCCCAAAGCAAGCACCCACTGTGGAGGAAGAGCTCCAGCTGGCGGGTCTTGAAAGGGCAGAAAGGCTCCCCAACCCTGCCCAAAGGCCACCCCGTCTGTACTTAAGTGAATACCTGGGACAGCATGGGGTCAGCAAGGGAATGGGCAGCTACATTGGAGGAAGACAGGGGTAGGTTCAATTCAGCAATGGATAGGACAGAGGAAGATGGTACAGGGTAGGGTCGTGACAGGAAGTGGGCAGCGCTAAGGGCATCGGCATGCCCCATATGCTTGCCCGGATGGTACTGCTGTGTATAGGTATACACCGCAAGGAACTCTGTCCAGCGAGCCATGCGGGGAGAGAGAATGGGCCCAAGGAGAGGCTTATGGTCAGTGAATAACGTAAAATGCCATCCGTAAAGGTAGTCATGGAACTTTTTGATCCCAGACACAGCAGCCAGAGCCTCCTTGCCGATCTGGCTGTAATTCCTCTCAGCAGAGGAGAGTGTCCGGAAATAAAAAGCTATTGGGGCTTCTCAGCCATTTGGGAGGATATGGCTCAGAACAGCCCCCACACCGAAAGGGGAGGCATCACATGCTAACGTCAGCGGTAGCTTGTCACTATATTATACTAAGACAGCCCCTGACGTAAGCATGGCTGTGACAGCCGTGAATCCATGCGCTTCGTGGCTGCCCCAGCGCCAGGCTGCTGATTGGTTGAGCAACTGATGAAGCAGCTTGGCAAGTGATGCCTTGTGAGGCAAAAATGGCACGTAGAAATTCAAGAGGCCGAGGAACACCTGCAGCTCCGCCTTGGAGGTAGGAGTGGGAGCATTCCTGATGGCTTCAAGTTTGGAGGGGGTGGGGTGGATGCCCTGGACATTCACAAGGAAGCCCAGGAATTCCATCCGTGGCACAGCAAAGGAGCATTTGCTGCACTTCAATTTTAAGCCCGCGCCCCTAAAACTGTTGAGGATCTTCCTAAGAAGTTTGATGAGCCCTGATCAACTGCGAGCAGCGATCAGGACATCATCAAAGTAAGGAACCACGCCAGGGAGCCCATGGAGCAAATGCTCCATGAGGCTCTGGAAGACCCCCAGGGCAACGGCGATGCCAAATTGTAAACGGAAGCAGTGGAAAGCACCCTGGTGGGTGACAATGGTCTAGGCAGTGGCGGTCTTGTCATCCACCGGGAGCTGCTGGTAGCCATA